GTAATGATTTATAGACAAATCATTTAATTACTTACCAATAATAAGTTATATCCAGGGGATGGGACTAGTCTCTTATAATATGGTGAACCACAATTTAAATTCTTGATGAGAAATATTCACATTTAATGTCTAACGATAACTCAAATAAAATTGTCTATACAGAAAAATACTTGTAGAAAAAAAATTAAATACTTAATTAACATTCCTCAATTTTTTTTTCTCTTTTATCACAGCATATTGTAAATTATATTAATCACTTATCTCTCTTCTTTTCGTTTTTCTCTTGGTGTATATACACTAAAAGAGATATTCATAAATCTTTTTTCCTTTTCATGTTATTTTATTAACTTTTAACTTTTCTTTTATTTTTTATCAATATTATCTCATTAAAATGTTCTTTTAATTTATTTTACATTTATTATTTTGAATAACAATTAAGTATGTTTAATCTAGTTAAATAATTTATAAAATTTTAGCTTTCAACTTAATTAATTAACTTATTTGTTAATTTTATCAAACATACTTTACATATCATTTTCCTAAGTTTTTTTAAATAATCATATATTTAATAGAATTCTCTAAAAAATTAATAAAACTAAAATTTATAAAATTTATAATATGCACTATATATTAAATACAAATAACTTATATACAACTTAAAATAAAATTTGTAATATACACTATTTAAACTGTCTCGCAAACATTTTTATATATTTCTCTTTAATGTTTTTCTTTAATAAGAAAAATTTTAGAAATCCTTTTAATTTCTTATTTATTTTAATTTTTATTATCATATTTATTTATAAAATAGATTTTAATATTTTTATATAAATATAATGATGGATAATTAAAAATAATCTTTATGTCACAAAATAGATTGTTTATCATAAATCAAAAACATAATTTATATAATATATAAAACTTATTAAATATTTTAGTTATATATAATAAACATTTAGTCAAACATAAAATATTACTTACAATTAATTTTTTTTTTGTTCGTCTCTAGAGTATTCACCGCCGATAGCAGTGACTAGTCTTCTCGGAAGCACCTTTTTGGATTATTTTTTGGTTCATAAATCTAAATTATATTTTACAATTCAAAATTAATGTTATTAACATTTATTTTACTCAACCATAAAAAAAAAATAACGAGATACTAAGCTAAAGTAAACATTGATCCATGTTGGGGTATGATTGATTAGAGTTGATTATCGGGCGGTTCGAATCGGTTAAGAACTCAAAATTTTAAATCCATTGCAAACTGAAACACGAAAAATTGAAGCCAATTTCGATTGATTTTGATGCCCGATTTGGTTGGGTTCAAGTGTGCTAAGTGTGTGGGTTGCACAGGTGAGTTGTGGCGCATATGCTCCTCCTTCTGCACCACATGAGCAAAGGAGTTGGAACTATTGTTGATGAAGAGAACAAAGTTTCTCAAAGAAGTATTGAATGTGTTGCTCTAGTGAAAGGGAATATGTTATGACACTGTAACTAAAAGGGTCTCAAAAAGGCATGATCTTTTGAAACCATAACCAGTGGGAGGTGACTTTCATGTGGAGGATGAAAAATAAATTGACTTATCTTTGTATTTCGTGATCTGTTATAGCAATGGAGGGTGTATCATGAATTTTGAGAACCATTGTGAGTAGTAGAGGGTGGCTTTCATAATGAAAAATGAGAAATAAAAGATATAATGCTTTGACCCTTTCTGTTTATTTATTTAGTTATTTTTATATTGGGACCCACTTATGAATGAGTAGTGATAATAATAAATGTTACTTTTAAAATGGTTTACCAGAGCGAGAGAAGAAAACTCCAATGATTAAAAGTTGTTTAAATTATTTGGTTGTCAATCGGGTGCAGGTTATGATGGAATTTTTTTAAACCTGCACCTATTCGAATTTATCTGTTTGAAACCAATATTTACTTCCATTTTATTCGATTATCAACCATCACCCATCTGAACAACTATATTTTAGTTCAAGTTGGTCAATTTTCGAACAGTTTGGAAAAATTTGCTCAAGCCTACTAATGGAACCTCAATTGGTGAATGATAGTTGAATTCTCCATGGAAGTTCCTTGATCCCACTTTGTTCTTTTTTGATGTATTTCCAAGAAAAATGACAGAACAAGAATGGAAGAAGAGATTGAAGGGCATGCCAAAAACGTATAGTGAAGGAGAAGTAAGCATATAGTACTAATCCACAAGGAAGGTTTCCTTGTTGGAAGTGCTTAAGGAGATAATTTCTTCTAGAGCTGTCAAAACGGGTAACCCAGCCCGGCCCGGCCCGGCCCACTACGGGTTGAGCATTTGGTGGGCTAACCCAACCCGGCTCATTTATTAGTGAGCTCAAAAAAATTAAACCCGGCCCAGCCCACCACGAGTTGGTAAGTTAAACGGGTTGGCTCACCTAATTTTAAAAAAAAATGTAAAACCCTAAACCTTAAACTGAAAACAAACTAAATTGGCAAACTTCTCGCGATGGGCTCACGATGCATGCGAGGCTCGCGGTGCGCACGGTGGCTTGCGGTGGCTCGCAGTGGCTCTCGATGCGTGCAGCGACTCACGGTGCGCAGTGAGCGCGGTGCCTTGTTGTGCGGTGCGGTGGCAGCTATGCGGTGCAGTGTGGTGGCTGGTGCGGTCTGGTGGCAGCTATGGTGGCTGGTGAGGTCTGGTGGCAGCAATGGTGGCTGGTGCAGTGTGGTGGCTATTATGGTGGCTGATGCGGTGTGGAGGCAGCAACTATGTTGGCTGTGCGAGACTGAGGGTGAGAGTGCAGGCTGTATAGCTTTCTGAAGTTCAAATTAAAAAATGAAACCCTAATGGGCTGCATTGGCCCAATAAGTATAGATTTTTTTTTTACGGGTTGGTGGGTTAGCCCGGCTCACCACGGGTTCAACCTGGGTGAGCCGGGTTCAAAATTGGCCCGTACTAAAATTTTCAAATTTTTTTTTGCCCAACCTGGCTCGAACCCGTGGTGGGCCGGGTTGGCTCACCGGGCTGAGCCCATTTTGACAGCTCTATTTTCTTCTGAGGGACCTTAGAAAAAGAAAAAAGAACTCAAAGTATGAATGCTTATAAATTTCTAAAGTGGCCAAAAATTATAAGAGAAATGCTTAAATAGATCTAGTGAAACTTATGGAGCAACCTAGGTTAACCATAGTTCAAATGAACCATGGTAGTAACTAGGAAAATTAGTGCCAAAATTTGAATTCAAAATTTAAATTTGGCTGTGAGTTTCTCCCTCCCATGTGTACCCATGTGCTTTTAGATCTAGGAAGTTAAAACATGCATTAGAATATTGTCATTTAGGCTCCATTAGCATTTGAATTTGGTCATGCCATAGACACCTCCACATGGTAGGTCACATAGTGACTAAATTCAAATGAAAATGTAACTTAAATGTCATGAAATGCATTTGCACATTTATAAGCCCAAAATACAAAAATTTCTAGACTACATGGCCCAATATATAAGGCCCAAAGAAATACAATACTACCAGGTCCAAAATACAAAGTTCAAAAATCATAAGCCCAATCAAGGTCCAAAATCCTATACAAGCCCATACAAGGTCAAAATAAAGAGAGGTATTGGACTTTAAGTAATAACCCAACTCAAAAGAAACTTAGACCCACTAACTTCACCACAAGCCCAAGCCTCCTACATTCTCCTAACCATGACCTAGTAGTGGGTTGGCTATACTTCTATTATCACCTATGGTTCACAAACAAACGTGACAACTTATCTCCTAAAATATATGGTTAGAGATACTAAGCTAAAAATAAATGGTATTTTTAATCATTTATAAAATATATTCAATAGGTGTGTGCATGGTTCAATTTTTTAAAAAATCACACCAAACCGTACCACACCATTTTATCAAATTGAATCAGCTTATGAACTATTTAAATCACATCAATAAACTGGTTGAGAATCAAAGAACTTTTATAAATAGGTTTAGAATCAATTTTAGAGTCAAACCATATTCAAATATTTTTTTAAAGAAAAAATAATTTTTTTTCAAAGTTGTGAACAAAGTCAAGATCTATGCACTTTGTAGAAATAAATAAAAAATCTTTTACTAGTTAGGTATTTAACTCAAATATTAATTAAATAGATAAATACATTGTAAAAGGTAAAAAAAATTTATTTTATTAAAAATTACTTTTTAAAGAGAAAAAGTTTACACAAATGAATCCACGATCAACCCAAAAACATTGAAAAATTATAAGTATCTTGTCAAAAATTAATTATGAAACATGATTTAATAAATGTCTTTTACTTTAATAATTTAAAGACGATAAAAAGTTAAAAAAATAAAACAAAAACAAAAATACAATGATTATAAGTAATCTTTAAACATTTTATGCTATATTATAAATTATTAAACTGTGATATAATAAATTAATTTAATTTTAATTTTTTCATTATTTAAAAAATACTATCTGATCTAATTACCAATACAATTCATGATCAGTTGAAATTTATTGTATGCGGTTTAGTTTTTTTAACATTTGTGATAATTTTTTTAAAAAATATTGCAGTTTGACTTCAAATTTAAACCATTTCAACCCCTACTATTTAACCATATTTAATTATCCACATTTGTTAGAGGAGACCGGGTAGAAAAAGTCAGAAGTGATACATGAATCGGTACTCATTAGTTTCTATATATCTTTCAATTAACTCCTCAATATATGAAAATGAATGAATAAACATCCACAATCATGATTTGTCATTTGCTTCAAATTTCAAAGCTGGGCATCCTAGTGGAAATCAACCTCAAAAAAGGGTGAAAACGAAACTCCATGCTCACTCACTTCCCGTAACTCCTCCAACTATAAGCACGAGGCCATTTCCGTCTTTCTGCTATACATAAAGTTTCAGTGACTCAGGTCAAAGTAATCCACACCAAAACAACCAATAACTGCTAAAAATCTCTCCCTCATTTCATCAATATAAGGCTCTTCATAGTTTAAAGTAGTAGGAACATACAAAACAAGTTAACACTTGGTGACGCCAAACACAATAAAGACAGCATATAACATAAGCATCTACTTTAGAGAGAGAGAGAGTTCACGAGTGTTTCACCGCCATTTTGCAACTGGAATCGAACTACTACTACGTACTACCACTAGTCCACTACATGGTACATATCCAAGCTCTTAAAATCCAAAATACTCGTATGAGTTGGTGAACCCTTCACGGGGTGGAACCATTTTTGGTCTCTTTCTTCACCCACCAACTCTAACACCAGTGGTCCACGCAAAACCACGTCAACCTGAACCGGGAGTTTCGGAGTTGCCTTGCTGCTTTTGCTTTATCTTTAGGAATGATAATAATGAGAGAGTTGAGCTTCTTGTTGGGTGATGCAAAAAGTGTTCTTTTCTTTTTCTTTCTTAAGCACATGGATCGGTCTGCTATGACTGTTGGGCCGGGAATGGATTTGCCGATCATGCATGACAGTGATCGCTATGAACTTGTGCGTGACATTGGTTCTGGCAACTTCGGAGTAGCCAGGCTTATGAGGGACAGGCACACCGAGGAACTTGTTGCTGTTAAGTATATTGAGAGAGGTGAAAAGGTTAGCTGGCCTCCTTTGTTTACGGTTTTTCTGTTTTGTTCAACTTTGTTTATTGCTTCCAGCACCTTTGGAAAGTGTTTGTCCCATAAATACATTTCTGTTTTCTTAAAGTTTGTCCCCTTAGCACTTGAACATATAGTACTTGAAGAAAATAAAAGAAGAGATCAAGAGAATGAGAAAACATATGAGATGTGTTTCTATTTTTTGATTTTCTAAACACTAGTTTTGGAAACATTTTCAAAACTTTATAGATTCTTTTATGACAAACTTAATATTTGTTTTAGAAAACAGTTTTTATAACAAAATGGTGAAAAGAGAAGCAAAACATGACCTTAGTCATCTAAATTCTCGAGCCTTTTCTTGGTTACTTAAAGAGCATATGAATGAAGTTTATTCTTGTATGTGATGGTGGATGTTGGGAAATGAGTGAGTATTTTGAATCTCAAAGGTAATTTGTTTTAGGTATTTTGATCAACTGAGTTTCTTTGCAATTGTTTTTCGTTGGATTTCTGTTCTACGTGTTTTAAATAACTTAGAATCTCATTTCAAGGATCAATTGTTATGGTTAACTGAATTTCTTTATAGTTGCTTTCTTAGAATTCATTTTTCTGATGGTTGTTTCTTTAGTTTTGAGTTCGATGCTGTAAAACGGTTGATTGAGAGATGTCCGTTTCATATATATTGGGTTACCTTCTCTTGCTAGCATTTCTTTTCCTGCCTTGTGCCTTTATTGTCTTTTTTGATGGATTTTGCGTCTTTGAGAAAATTGTCTGATGTTTATGTTGTTACTATTTTTGGTTAATAACACGTGATGATGAATGAAGGGTACGTAACTTGTGTTTGTTATGTTCATCTCAATGTAAAATTCTAGATAATGGTTGTGATGGTAAAGTTGCTATGGTAAACCTAATGGTAAGCAATGAGGGGCATTTCCCTTGGTTGAGCAGAATGCACGAGTTGTAAATTCGTATATCAAGTTCGATTCTCATATACGAAAAAATAAATGAAGGCATAGTTATGTTTATTTGTTAACAGATAGATGAAAATGTACAAAGGGAAATTATAAATCACAGATCACTGAGGCATCCCAATATAGTCAGGTTCAAGGAGGTACGTAAAATGATATAACTCTATTTTCTTGTCCTTTATTTTTTTATTTAAATATATTTTTAATTCTTCAAATTTAAATTAAATTTATTTTTAGTCTCTTGAATTTAAAATTGATATTTTTAATTTCTGTATTTTAAATTAATTTATTTTAACTTTTATAATCAGATTTTATTATAGAATTTATTCACTACTAGAATTTCTCTTATTATATACGATTTTTTCTGCAAGATTTTATCTTTAGGTAATACTTTTGTGAATAATATGTTTCTGCAAATTTTAAAATTCGCAAGAAATTTTTCTACGAAAAAAATTCGCAGAAAATTTTTCTACTAATAAAATTTCCTGCGAATTTTTTTGCAAGAAAAAAATCAAAGAAATTACTATTCGGAGAAATTTTTGTATAATTTCTATTAATAATTCTTCAACATTCAAATGTTTATAATGAATTCTTTTGAAACACGTAAATTATAGGTCTAACACTCAACCATATAAAATCAAAATGTGAGTGTTGTCCCAACTTATATACTATTTAATTATTTTATTTCTAATTGATGTGAGACTTGAGGTAAGTCTTTTAATTACTAAACTTATAAATATATATATATATATATATATATATATTATTTTTCTTGCAAATTAAAATTGGCAGGAAAATCTATAAAAACAGTTACCTATGAAATTTTTCTACCATTTAGTAAACATTACTTGGGAATATATTTTTATAAGAAAATCTGTAAGAAACAAGATAAAATTCTTACAATATTTTCTACAAATTTTTATCATGGAAAAAATTTCTATGATCATTAAAATTACAGCAAAATTTGCAAAAAAACAAATTATGGATTATTTTTTATAAAAAATTTGTAAGAAGTTTCTGTAAATTATTTTTCGCAAATAAATTTGCCAAATTTTTTTTGTAAAATTATTATTACAAGAAAATTTGCAAAAAAAAAAAAAAAACTTGCGAATATTTTTTTTAAGAAAATTCGTAGAAAAATGACACTTTTTTTAGTAGTGATTAGATATTGTCACATAAAATTCACCGGTGTTCCTATTAGTAAAAACATCACATTAAACCTAACTAATGATACATAATTGTCTTAATCTATCACTTTCGCACAAATTAGAAGTAATCTAATAGACTAAAACAAAATTTTTAAAAATTACATGAACTAAAAATAATTTTAAATTTGAGAGACTAAAATTAAATATTTTAAATTTGAGACACTTAAAAACATATTTAAGTGTTGATCTTATCTTAAAAGTATTGTTTAGTCCTTTGTTGATGTGACTTTAGGTTATTTTGACCCCAAGCCATTTGGCAATTGTGATGGAATATGCTTCTGGAGGAGAGCTATTTGAGCGAATATGCAATGCTGGGCGGTTCAGTGAGGATGAGGTTCTTATCTGTTGGATGCTTTCATTTGTGCAATGCTGCAGTATATGCCTTTAATGTGTTCTTTAATGCTGCAGGCACGATTCTTCTTCCAACAACTTATATCAGGGGTTAGCTACTGTCATGCAATGGTACTTGTGCTCAACACATGGATTTAATTAGATAATTTTTTTCATAAACACTTCAGGAAAAAAAAATGATAAAATAAAATTCTTTAAAAACTAAACTTTTTCACAAATTAATCTGCAGAATTGCTCTCATACGAGTTTATAAAAAAGATGTTTTTTAATTTGTGTATAAATTAGTTTTAACTTAAGTAACCTGCAAAAAAAATATTTTTTAACTTATGTATAAACTAGTTTATCAAAAGGAAGTTAATTTAATTTTTCTTTCTTATTTTCTTCTCTTTGAAGTTCTTATTAATAAGTTTATTCAAACATGCTGTAAACTTTACTTTTGCCGGTTTAATGCTGCCCAGAAGATATCATGAGATGACTGACTTGAATTTCTATATTTGTCATCTTGAATGAAGGAAGTATGCCATCGTGATTTGAAGTTGGAAAACACATTGTTGGATGGTAGTCCAGCTCCTCGTTTGAAGATTTGTGATTTTGGTTATTCCAAGGTATAGGTCACTCTTTCTATTGCTTTTTTTTATTTTCTAAGACCTTCAGGTATATATAGTATCATCATTCCAGGTTGTGGCGCTTGAAATTCAACTGGCCATTGTTTAGAAGGTTATTTAATTTGTAGGTTTCTCCAAGTCCAAGATCAAGCAAACTTTTTTATCTGACATTTGTAGATAACGGATTAATTTGCAACACCTATGCACCTTGATTCTCTTACCTTTTCAGTCCTCGGTACTACATTCACAACCAAAATCTACAGTTGGAACCCCTGCATATATAGCTCCAGAAGTTTTGCTTAAAAAGGAATATGATGGCAAGGTATGTTGTAACCTCTCTCGGAATTCATCTAACTGGTTTGATAATTTCACATTAACATGTTCTTTATTTAGTGTATGTGTTTTTATAAATTATATTTATGTTCATAAGCTCATATATATCTTTATTTCAATTTGCTTATAACTTTTGATTTATGAGTTGGTATCTGTGACCACAATAACATGTAACTGGCTCCATTACTTTTAGACACTACCAACTTAAGTACCAAGAGAGTTATAGCTTCCAGGTTTCCCCTAAAAAAATACCTAAAGTTATAAGGCTTGTGCAATATGATCAGAGTTTTATCCTCATTCAACTTTTTGTTTTGGTCTAAATATGACGAATCTTAAACTTTGGTTTACAACTGAGGTTAATATGTTTGATTAATTGATAGTGAAAGACCATTCAACTACAAGAATGGTAACTGTAATTCTTTCCATGCCATTTCAGATATGAGATTGCCTTGACCAAATAATCAACTCCTCTTTCTCCCAAAAAGAAAACCAAAAGAGTGGAAAATGGAAAATCTTTGTCCAATATAAATAGTTATTTTCTTCTGTGTGCGTGTGTTGGGTGGATGAGGACCACCTTGAGTAAGAAAATTAAATAAACTTACGGTTTATTTTAACATTTCCAGAAAAGAAAAATAAGAGAAAAAAAAATAAAATGATATTCTCTATAAACTAAATTTGATTTATGTATAAGTTAATGATATGAATATACATTCTAAGTGGGACAAGCCTTTTAAGACTTATCATCGAAGGCCCAAACAGTATGGGGCCTAATTGTCTTTTGCTGAAGAGTCGGTTAGAAGAGAGAGAGGGAGAGCTATGTGATTCTGCTATATAGGGATTGGGGAAGCATTTGTGGGGGATTATGTCAGAATTGGAAATAAGAATTTGGAGTCAAGAGAACCTTTCTCTGACTTGGGGGAGCCTGACTCTCATTTCAGCAATATTATTTTTGTTTCTTCGCCATTTCTCTGTTTCTTCTGCAGGTACCTTGATACATCACATATCATTGGTGTTTTCATTAAGAGATTTCCATATATTGTATGCAAATGAGAATGACGTCACGCATCGACAATGCCGAGTCCAAGATTGCTTCTATTGAATCCATTGTTAAATCCCATGAACAGCTCTTGAAAGAGCAATCATCCCAACTGACCTCTCTTCTCACAACTATCACTGAGTTGTCTAAATCTGTGGCTACCATGTGCACAAAAATGCGCAAAACGATGCCGCAATTTTCCTCCACCGGAAACACAACAATCCATTCTACTACGATCTTTTCCCCACCAGCAGGCTCTTCGACGACCCTCGATTATTGTTTATCATCTAAACGTGTCAAACTTCCTTCGTTCAAGGGCGAGGACCCCGTCGGTTGGCTCGCGAAGGCTAAAACCTACTTTGCGGTTCAGAATACCCCACTGGATATGCAAATCCAGCTTGCTCAAATCTCCATGGACGGGATGACATGGCATTGGTTCAAGGTATTGAGTGATTCCGATCCTCATTTGACTTGGGCCACCTTCAAACGTGCACTGTTAGAACGTTATGGTGACAATTAGTTTGGCAACCCGTTCTCCCAACTCAAGTTGCTTCACCAGACAGCCACCATTGATGAATATGTAGAAGCTTTTGAGGTCCTCACGACACAAATTTCCCCTCTCACTGAGGAGCAATACATGGGGTTTTTCCTCGGGGGTTTACGTGAGGATATACGCTTGGAAGTGTTGACGTTTGAACCTCCCAATCGTCATCGTCTAATATCAGTTGCTTGTTTGATTGAATGAAAATTGGATCGAGTCACCACTCGTGGGAGCACTTCAGGATGGAGACAACCCACTCTGCAAAGTAAGTTAGGTTCTCCTCGTTCCTCCGTTAATGGGCCTATTAGTGGAGCCCAATCTGCAAGTGGCTCTAATGAATCACATAATAGAGGTTCTAGATTTGGACCCAATCCTCCTGGCCCAACCTCGTCACGATCCAATACTCGTAACCTCTCCTATCCAGAATTAATGGAATGCAGAAATAAAGGCCTTTGTTTCAAGTGTGGTGGTAAGTGGGGTCCAACCCATGTCTGTCCGGATCGTCACTTGCGCCTTCTTATTTGGGAAGGTGAAGAGGATGAGGTTGTGCCTAGCCCCGATTCATCAACCATCCGCGAGGATCAACCAAACATAGATGTTCAAGACATGGCCTGTCAAGTTTTGGATTACTACGCCTTGGATCCAGGAGAGTTGGCACGATCCAAAACCATCAAGTTAGAAGGGGTGTTGGCCGGATACCCCATCCTTCTCTTGGTTGATAGTGGTGCGAGTCACAATTTTATTGCGCGGGAATTGGTGAGTTCTTTGAATTTGGAGGTCATGCAGAAAAAGGCATTTTGTATTTGAATCTGGAGGTCATGCAGACAAAGGCATTCTCTGTTGGACTTGGTAATGGAAGTACGTGTTCGTCTCAAGGAATTTGTAGAGAACTACGTGTGAAGTTGGGTCGCTACACAATTATGATGGATGCATATGTATTAGACTTGGGCGGCGTGGATATTGTTTTGGGAGTGGAATGGCTCGAGAAATTTGGACGAACAACAATGGATTGGCAGAAGAAAACAATTAGTTTTGAGGACAATGGCCAATTGATCACATTGAATGGTCATCACTTTAAGGACATCCATCGTTCTCCGGCTCTGCAAGGCTTTCTACATGGGGTAGCAATGGAGGATGTTACTCTCTATCAAGTGAACTCCCAAGTCCTCTCCCTTGCTAATGATCCTGCGTGGCAGCACGTTTTAGAGCAACATGCCTCTGTTTTTGCAACAAGAAAGGAATTGTCACCACAACGTACTCATGACCACTCAATTACATTGTTACCAGGTTCCAAACCAGTTAGTGTCAGATCCTACAGATATGCCTATCATCACAAGGATGAGATAGAAAGACAAGTGGGAGAGTTGATATCCGAAGGGTTAGTCGGTCAGGCAGTGAGCCTTGTTTCTAGTCCAGTTATATTAGTTAAAAAGAAAGATGATTCGTGGCGCATGTGCGTGGACTATAGAGCTTTGAACAAGGTGACAATGTTGGACAAATATCCGATACCAACAATTAGTGAGTTAATTGATGAGTTACATGGATCTCGATTCTTCTCCAAGATTGATCTTAAGTCGGGTTTTCATCAAATTCGAATGCAAGAGATGGATATCCATAAGACTGCCTTTAGGACCCATGAGGGTCACTATGAATATTTGGTCATGCCGTTTGGATTGGTCAATGCCCCTTCAACGTTCCAATCCACCATGAATTCGGTCTTCTGCCCTCTTCTTCGTAGGTGCGTTCTAGTCTTCTTTGACGACATTCTGATTTATAGTCCAGATTGGCAGTCCCACATTTCCCACCTCCATGATGTGTTGAGCTTGTTATCTTCCCATCAATTTGTGGCAAATCACAAGAAATGTTCCTTTGGCTTGTCCTCTGTTGACTATTTGGGACATATAATTTCTGGGAGAGGCGTTGAGATGGATCCATCTAAGGTGAAGGCTGTGATGGATTGGCCTACCCCGCACAATGTGAAGGATGTGCGTGGTTTTCTAGGTCTCACAGGATATTATCGACGTTTCATTAAGGATTATGGCAAGTTGGCTCAACCATTAACTGAAACTACTAAGAAGGAGGGTTTCTTTTGGGGTCCGACTCAGGTGAATGCTTTTGAATGCCTCAAGCAACGATTATCCTCTTTTCCAACTTTGGCGTTGCCGGATTTCACTAAGGAGTTCTTCATTGAGTGTGATGCTTCTGGTCATGGTCTTGGATCAGTCTTGATGCAAGATAAGCAACCCATAGCTTATTTTAGTAAGGCTCTTTCACCATGCACTATGTCAAAATCTGTGTATGAGAAGGAAATTATGGCTCTGGCACTCTCTGTTCATCACTGGCGGCATTATCTTTTGGGGAGGAGCTTCAAAGTTTACACAGACCACCGGAGTTTGAAACATCTCCTTCAACAACAACTCACCACAACTGACCAACAATTTTGGTTGGCTAAACTCATGGGGCATCAATTTGAGGTCATATACAAGCCCGGTCCCGACAATAAGGCTACTGATGCATTATCTTGTAAACATTCTGTTCCTGAAATTGATACTATCAGTATAAGCCCTTTTTGGGTTAATTTTCCCAAGATCAGAACAGAAGTTCAAAATGATCCAGAAATGCTCCGTTAGATCCAAACCTTGCAATCTGACCCGAACTCAACCCCCCACTATGTGCTTCGGGATGGTTTGATATTTTTCAATGGTCGCCTAATGTTGCCTAAATTGTCTGCTTTGATTCCCTCCCTTTTGGCTGAGTATCATGACACGGTTACAAGGGGACACTCTGGATTCACTAAGACATATAAGAGGTTAGCTTCTTCTTTCTTTTGGAAAGGAATGAAGGCATCAATTATGGCGTTCATACGCCAGTGTGATGTGTGTCAACGCAATAAGTATGAGGCAATGTCTCCTACAGGTTTACTCCAACCTATCCCTATTCCGAAGATTATTTGGGATGATGTCTCCCTTGATTTTATTACCAACTTACCCCGATCATAGGGGCATGAAGTGATTATGGTGATAGTGGATCGTTTATCTAAATATGTCCATTTCATTGCCTTAAAGCATCCGTACACAGCTCGAATAGTGGCAGAAGCTTTTGTCAAGGATGTTGCTAAATTACATGGATTCCCGCGTCAATTAAGTCGAGGTCAGTTGCTAACTCTTGAGCGTTCTGCTCGCTGTTGAAGACCTGGCATCGGTGAGATGTCTCTCCGATTTCCACTGGAATCATTGCGTCAGCTTCGTAAGTCAGCCTGTAAGGCGTTTCTTAGTAACCCACCCTAAAATTAATATACAATCACTAGTTAAAAGCAAGTAAAGTGTCTCACAAATACAAAGGCAAAAATAAGTTTATACAAAGAGACTACTATATGTACAAGCATATGAAAGGTCTTTAATATCATCTCATTCCTCTTGGTTCTTTTAAGATATCACCTCTTGGATTCCTTAGCCTTGGCCATAGCCTATCAACAAGGTTTTCCACCAGCAGATCAGGCGGAACATGAAAGTCTATGTTGACGACATGGTAGTCAAAACCACCTCGGTCGAAGACCATGCTGCCGACCTGGCCGAGGTATTCAGCCAGATCAGAAAACACAACATGCGCCTCAACCCAGAGAAATGCGTCTTCAGCGTCCAGGGAGGAAAATTCTTTGGTTTCATGATCACTAGCAGAGGGATTGAGGCCAACCTGGAGAAATGCAAAGCCATCATTCAGATGCAGAGTCCACAGACAGTGAAAGATGTCCAGCGCCTGACAGGAAGGTTAGTCTCCATGTCCCGTTTTATCCCCAGATTGGCAGACAAGGCAGGTCCCATCTTCACCCTGCTGCGGAAATCGAAGAATTTCGAGTGGACGGACCAATGCAAGGAGGCTTTCAAGAACTTCAAAGCCTTCCTCACGACTCCGCCAATCCTTCAAAGGCTGGATCACAAGGCTGACCTCCTCCTCTACTTGGTCGTAGCAGAAGGCGCCATCAGCGCAGTTGTAGTGCAAGAGCACCAGAAAGTGCAAACACCAATCTACTTCATCAGCCGTGTACTCCAAGACATAGAGAAACAGTACCAGATGATCGAGAAGCTGGCACTGGCACTTGTTACCGCAGCTCGACGTCTCCGACCTTACTTCCAAAGCCACCAAGTAGTCATCAAAACCGACTACCCAATAAAGCAAATCTTGAGAAAGCAAGAGCTTGCCAGACGGATGATAGCGTGGTCAGTCAAGTTGTCCGAGTTCGACATCCAGTACGAAAGTCGTGGCGCTTTGAAAGCTCAATGCTTAGCTAACTTCGTTGTTGAACTGACGCCAACCTCGGTCGAGGAGCCACAGGTATGGACTTTCTATGCTGATGGATCCTCCAACTCTAAGAGTGGTGGTGCAGGTATCATTTTGGAAGGACCAAATAGAGTCACTTTGGAGTAGTCCCTCAAGTTCGGTTTCAAGGTGACAAACAACCAAGCAGAGTACGAGGCACTTCTCGCAGGGCTAAGGTTAGCCCACGATCTCGGAGCACGGAAAGTGAGTTGCAACAGCGACTCAAAACTCATGGTAGAGCAGCTCAACGGGACATACCAAGCCAAGGACGTTCTTCTACAGCGGTATTTCCACGTGGCATCACACCAGATCTCATCTTTCGACGAGTTCGCTATACAGCATATACCGCGAGAGCAAAATACCAGAGCCGACCTCCTATCAAAGCCCGCCAGTACCAAACGCCCTGGACATCATCGAACCATTATCCAAGAAATCTTGCATTCGCCTAGCTTGGACGACAAGGTCGTCAACACCAGCGACAACGAAGAACGAGGGTGGATGACAGGTATTTGGAACTACTTGAAGTCAGGAACTCTACCCGAGGATAAAGATGAAGCCCGGAAGATGAGAGTAAAATTGGCTAAGTTCGCAATTGTCGGAGACGAACTGTTCAAGCGCGGCATCTCCACCCCTTTGCTCAAATGCTTGACCACACCTCAAGTTGCTTATGTCATCGAAGAAATCCACCGAGGTATATGTAGCATGCATTCCGGAGCGCGCTTGATGGCAGCCAGGGTACTCCGAGCTGGTTACTACTGGCCCACCTTGAAGTCGGATTGCCAAGCCTACGTGCAGAAATGCAAAGAGTGCCAACAGTTCGGCAACACACATCGGCAACCACCCGAAGCTCTCCACCAGATGATGTCTCCGTGACCTTTCGCCTAGTGGGGAATGGACATCCTGGGACCGTTTCCCCCCGCGAAAGGTCAACTCAAATTTCTCCTGGTGGCAATTGATTATTTCACCAAGTGGATCGAAGCATGCCCACTCACCAAGATCACCACCGACAATGTCCAAATTCCCAACATCCTCTTGGCGTACCATTGCACCCCTCAATCAACAACGTAGGAGACACCTCACAGGCTGACTTATGAAACTGACACAATGATCCCAGTGGAAGTCGGGGAGACATCTCATCGACGCCAGGTCTTCAACAACGAGCAAAACGCTCAAGAGATAGCAGCCGATCTCGATCTGATTGACGAGCTCAGAGACGAAGCTCGGATTCATGAAGAAGCTTTTAAACTCCGAGATTCCAGAAGATATAATATGAGAGTGTGACCTCGCTCTTTCCGAGTTGGTGACTTAGTGTGGCGATTTTTGGGCGACGCACGAAGAGACACGTCAGAAGGAAAGCTTGCACCCAACTGGGGTGGCCCATTCCGAGTTGTAGAAGACTTAGAAAATGGGGCATATAGGCTAGAAATGTGATTCATATCCGACTCCAATCGTCTGTCCCGTACTCCAGTCTTGTATCAAGAAAGAATCGAAAGTGAAGGTTATGGCACAATTTAGTGACCGAGTCAACTTACTTATAAAAATCAAATTAAAAGGACATCTAGGAACTAGTAAAACATATTTTAATGGTAGTGAAGGGGTAGGTGATATTTGGCCAATACCAGTGGCTTGGACTTTTGACCCATCTGCAAGAGTGATATGATGTGGAGTTTTAGGTGATGATAGGCTATGGAAAAGGGAGACATTACCAGTTAGGTGATCAGAAGCACCAGAGTCTAAAACCCAAGGTCCAATAGACGTAGAGTGAGAGAGACAGACGATAGAATTACCAGTGTGAGCAACAGTGACAGAGGAAGAGGCTTGTTGCGCTGCCTTCAGTTGAAGATACTCTTTGTAATCATCGGTAAATAATGAGATTAGATGATTGCCCTTAGATTCAATCTTGAGCTCTAGAGCCGAAGTTGGAGATTGAGCCATGAAGAGAAAAAAAAGGAGAAAAACAGCAAACAATCAGCCACGAAATTCTGAGGTAGCAACCAATCAACCACGGAACTGTAAGGTAGCAACCAAACGACCACCAACAGACCACCTAGAGTGTGACCCACAACCTGAAAAGGGTCAAAACGAGAAGAGGGTGGGCCGGCGAGTCCAACGGAGTGAACCGCGTCGCAAACGGAGGCTGGGAGGGCGGCACGTGAAGCCCACGCGCCGGCGAGCTTCCTCAAAAAGAACCGCGCGTGAGAACGCGTGAGACAGCGGCTGACGGTGGCTCGCGACGGAAAGGCCGATCGGCGACCTCTGAGTGTGCAGGCGGTGTCAACTCCAGCAACCGCGGACAAAACTTGAAAACCCTAGAAACCCTAGATGTTGGCAGCTGGATTAGGGTTCCTGGACCAGAGTGCTCTGGTACCAACTTTAATATGAATAATTTCTTATTATTGAATCTGAATAGGTACAATAAAATAAATAGGCATAAAACATAATCAATCCCTAAAGTTTAGGGATTTAGATAAAACTGACTAAGGAAACTAAACTAGAAAATAGGAGAAGATAAACTAGTATATCTAAACTATATCTTATAGAATTATCTTAACACCATCCTCAAACAGACGGTCAGACCGAGGTGGTTAACCGTTGTTTAGAGAAACAAAAATAATATTGCTGAAATGAGAGTCAGGCTCCCCCAAGTCAGAGAAAGGTTCTCTTGACTCCAAATTCTTATTTCCAATTCTGACATAATCCCCCACAAATGCTTCCCCAATCCCTATATAGCAGAATCACATAGCACTCCCTCTCTCTCTTCTAACCGACTCTTAAGCAAAAGACAATTAGGCCCCATACTGTTTGGGCCTTCGATGATAAGTCTTAAAAGGCTTGTCCCACTTAGAATGTATATTCCTATCAGTTAATTTATAGAAATTTTCTCTTATAAATTTCTTTAAAATCTTACTCTAACTTATGGAAAAGTTTGTTTTATTTTATTTTTTTATTTTTTTCTCATAAAGGTATGTTTAGAAAGATTTATCCAAACAGAATCTTATTTAAAGTGTACCATGATTTTTTACCAGAAATGTGTATGATGTTTCATTTATGGGTAGAATAAAAGGTTTTTGAATACTATTGTGCATGAATGGTTTAATACTTCAAATATTAGAAACCGTGATGATGCACCAGCCCTGCATTCAGGCTAGCATTTTAACGGTTTATACTAATGTTGACACTCAATTATGACTCAGATTGCGGATGTGTGGTCTTGTGGGGTGACCTTATATGTCATGTTGGTGGGTGCGTACCCTTTTGAGGATCCAGAGGAACCTAAAAATTTCCGCAAGACAATTCATGTAACTAATTGCTCCTATTTTTGGATCAATGTAGTACTTTGATTGAATTAGTATTCCTAAACTGGTATTATGTTGGTTGCAGAGAATTTTGAATGTTCAGTATTCAATCCCTGACTATGTTCATATATCAGCCGAGTGCCGTCATCTGATATCAAGGATTTTTGTTGCTGATCCTGCAAAGGTCAGTTTTCAATTTAGATTTTGCTGAAACTTACGTGCCTTGTATCATATTTGGAGAGTTGAAGTGAAAAAGATTCTAAATGTTTGATAGGCACTATCAATGTAAAAAATTTTACACTATCAATCAATTAAAATTTAAAAATCATTGTCTTATGACTTTTTAAGTTTTAAGTCTAGTAATAATTACAGATGTCACAAAATATACTGTACATGACTTTTCGTGATTGAAAGAGAATATAAAAGACCTATACATTGCCAATGCATGTATCATTTATTCATTCTAAAGTGTATCCATGTGCAATTGTATTATATGCTTCTCTTTTTTTTGTGTAAAAGATGTCATTAACATCTAACTTTGGCAACTAATATTGCTTTAAAACAGAGAATAAATATTCCTGAGATTAGAAACCACGAGTGGTTTTTGAAGAACCTTCCGAGTGATCTCATGGATGGGAATACTAACAACCAGTTTGAGGAGCCTGATCAACCAATGCAAAGCATAGAAGAAATCATGCAGATAATTAAGGAGGCTACAATTCCTGCAGCTGGATCTCAGTCTCTCAACCATGATCTCACTGGTAGTTTGGATATTGATGATGACATGGATTCGGATCCTGAACTTGACTTAGACAGCAGTGGAGAAATAGTGTATGCTATGTAAACTGGCGGAAGACCATTGAACTGACTTTGGGGGTCAACAAAATGTTATGCCCCGGGTTGTTCAGTGCGTGTGGAATATGAACAAATATACTTCACTTTCTACCATGAAGGATACTGTGATGGAATTTTCATTATGCTGGGAGAGAATCCACCCTGCTTGTGTTTAAGTTCTATTTATGATCCTACTTGATTATCTGCTAGCTGCTTTGTATTGATTGCTGTGTGATTTTTACATTACCATATGAATTGATAGTCTTTACCTTTGGACCCATTTTCTCTCTTATAGACAAAAGAAGGAGATTGTTATTGTTAGACGTTTGGAAAGTATACCATTTCATCCAAGTAGTTCAATGATAAGATAGTATCGTTTCTCAAATAACTTCTGTAATATGCGACAATAAATATACTCGATAATAATTTTAAACTAAAGAATTTTTCATTAGTTAAATTTGGTTGATAACATAAATGAAAAACGTTATGAAAAGGTAGGTTTCTTTTTGTTTCATAAGCGGGTAGAAGGCGGTAGAGATTTAGTTATAAAATAAGATGTCCATGTTAGAATTAAATATCATCGATCTCACTTTCATGCGCTTACATATTAAAACTCATTTTCACATTCAATTTTAATTGCAACATACTAGTTTATTCAAACCTATTTCTTTAAAAGTGAGAGCAAGTTCCTTTACCAAGTATCAATTCCTTGAATACATAATAAACAAACTTGCATTAGGTATGAAAGTTTAAGACAACTAATGGATCAAATTCTATTCCTATAAACAAATTCCATAACAAATTGTATTCCGTAATGAATTTTATTTTAGTTCAAGATTACGAAAGATATTTTCCAATACTAAATATATCTAAAATCAAGTTATGGTTGATTGCTCCACAACAAATAATAAGAGTAGAAATAAAATACAAACTTTTTTTTTTGTGAACATGATCTATGCAGTGCCACAAAACTGAGAACCAATGACTAATCTACATTGTGGAATATCATTAGCCAAACATTATTTTAACACAAACAAAAATTTAACTTGAGAATACCAGGTCGACCCGTATGTCCCCTATTGTACCGAAAACCAAGTTCAAGTTGACAATGCATAAGCTCGACTTGAATGATGGACATGGAGATTCTTATCTATGATATATATATATATATATATATATATATATATATATATATATGTGTGTGTGTGCGTGTGTGTGTGTGTGTGCGCGTGTGTGTGTGTGTGTGTGTGTGTGTGTGTGTGTGTGTGTGTGTGTATGAGTGGG